CTGTAAAAATACTGTTCACCACACATGCATCAGAATGGATGGAAAGGCTGGAAAATAGGAGGTGTTGGTTAAGGATCTGGAGCAACAGGAATGCTCATACATTGCTGGAAGCAGTAGAAATTGGTACAACCACTTTGGAAAACTGTTGGGTCATATCTCATACGCCAGCAATTCCCTCCTAGAAATAAACTCAACAGGAATGCATGCAAATGTTTACCAAGAAGCATATTTTTACCAAAAGTGGTACTATTCATAATAGTTCCAAACTAGAAAATACACAGATACTCATCAATAGCAGAATAGATGAACGTATTGAGTTAGGGTCACACACAGCAAGGAAAAACACTCTAGCCCAGCCGGGCGTGGCTCAGTGGTTGAGCACTGACCTAGGATCCAGGTGATGGGGATTTGATTCCCAGTCAGGGCACATGCCCGGGTTGCAGGCTAGGCAGCCGATCGACTCTCTCATCATTGATGTTTCTATCTCTCTCTCTCTCCTTCTCCTTTCCTCTCTCTGAAATTAATAAAAATATATCTTTTTTTTTTTAAAAAAAGACTCTACACTCAACAACATAAAGAAATTTTATAAAAATAATTTTGATTATTAAAGAGCTAGATTTTTTGAAAAGCACTTACTGTATGATTACTTTTATATAAATCATAAAACTAGGCAAAACTCTGCTATTAGAGGTCAAGAAAGGTCAGAAGTGGGGTTAAGTGACCTAGAGAATAGGAGGGGGAGCTTCTGGATATGCCGGTCAGGCTCCATTTCTTGATCTGGGTACTAATTACACAAGTAAATTTAGTTTGTGCCCTTTTCTGTATGTACAGGTGACCCTTGAACAACACTAGGGTTAGGGGTACTGACCTGCCACAGTATAACTAGTCAGCTCTTCTCACACATGGATTCCCAACCACGAATTGAAAAGTATATTATACTTAGGGTTTTTAAAAAATAATACCTCTTATTTGAGAGGAAGCTGAAAAATATCAAAATGTTTTGGAAAATATAAATCACTCAGAACCCACTATCCAGAAATAACCATTAACATTTTGAATTATTTCCTTCCAATCTTTTGAAGCCACTATGCTTGTGCTACCTCCAACCCCCCCCCCCACTCCCCACATATTTACACACACATTTGCTAAATTAGGTTTATTTCTCCTTGGTTTTACTTCTGTTTTTAAATTTTTACTTGAAGTTAATCCTTAACAAATATCTATTGCAAACTTTTTTTTAAGCTGCAGCAATGTATTTCATCAAATGTGTGCATGTATAGTGAATACATATACATTTTCCTAGGAATATTTATTGTATGTGATTAGGAATATTATATATTATACATATGAAGTCCTAGAATAGGAGCTGCGGGGTGATGACCGTCCTTTAAGCTCTGCATTCGCACTCCGTTTCCTCCCAGAAAGGTTGCATCTCCCTAGCGAGCTGTGCGGGCTCCCTGTTGCCACAGCCCAAGCCCAGGTCATTTATGATGATTTCTGCTTGTTTTTAAGACACCGGGGCACACAACGAGACTAAGGACTCTGCGGTTTTGCTCGGGCGGAGCGCTCGGCGGGAACCGGCTTTCCCACGTCCCTCCCTCCCTCGGGGCTCCCGGGCGCACGCCGCGAGGCTCCGGGGCTGCCGCCGG